TGTGTAATGAAGCGATGATAATATTTTGGTCAATGTAATTTTTTTTATTAGTTCCCAATGGCTAGTTATCAAGTGTAGGAGAAACATGTTTCAGCACAAATAGGCCACGTAACACCACGGCCTCACAGAAAACTGACGTAAAACGACGCTTGCGTCGTGTGAGTGAGGTTACTGGAAGCCCAATTATCACCACCCACTTCCCAAATCTCCCCAATCCCTGAATCTCCAACAATCCTCAAATTCCTTAATTCCCAAAAGATCGGTAACGTACTTGTAACGCTTCTGGTGTTTTAGGTGTCCATGGGCGGCGCCGATTGCTTACCATCAAGTGATCCGTTCGCTCGTATACAGGCCTATCCCATAAAAAACAATGCCAGTTTGTTTGCGGGGTTAGAGTGTTAGTAGTTAGAGTGAAGGCGATTGTTTGTTTAATGATGGACAACTGAAGACTAATGACAAGTATTCTCCTGTTTAAATGATGAAAGTGTTTAATTTAACTCTTCTTTCTCTACCACTACAATAATACAAATAGTGAAGTTCAACTTTACTATATTATATTAAATAACAATTGTAACAGTTCTAGTCTTTACACAAGCGTCTTTAAAATAACACAGTCGTTCATTTTACACAGCTTAAGTCTAGTGCTTTAAGATGTGTTGAAATATTTCGACACTTAAGTTTAAGTTGAGCATGTAGAAGCGCCATTGTTCATATCTCTACTTGAGTATTTAGTTACTTCAAGTTATATGTGAAGGGGTTTATTTTGTTAATTGTTTAATGACTTTAGACAAGTTGTTGTTTCAAGATTTTGGTGTTTTTTTTCTCTTAGTAATGGAGATGCCATTTTAAATTTGAAAATTTTAAGAGTAACACGAAATTCAGCTACTTATTACTAAAACTGAGAGTTAATAAGTCTCAGGTTTGGCATTGAAGTGCAAAATTTTTTTCATTAGTGTAATTCTCAGGATATTACATACTTTACGTATTTTTATTTTTGTTTATCTAGTGGACAAATTACAACATGGCAAAATCTGACTTATCATCTGTAACTACTTCTACTTTTGCCATAAATTACGTTCGTTTAGGATTATATGACTTATCATCAAACGTACTCAAGTCTACTGAATAAACCATCACTTCTAGCTAGAAAACACAAAACACACAAAAATGCCTCCTGGCAATATGTCAAGAAAAACATACTAACAACAAGATAACAAAACATTTAATCTTAATGAAATAGTGTCTGGTCAGGGAGAGCCGAACATAATCCGAGTCTTAATATCTGGCAGACGAGGCGACAGGCACATACTAGTCTAAACAGAGCCGTATTATTCGTAGGGGAAACAAAACAAGTGACTAGGGCGCCAGGTTACAATCGCGATGCGTATAAAGCGTGTGTCCGTAGAGTGACTGCGTGGTGGCGCCAAATAAATTTGGGGCGCCAGTGTGGTGCTTGCCGAGGGCGCTCCTTACGTTTAATCCATCCCTGTCTAAATAAAAATATAACGGCCGGAGCAAACGTCATGAACATGCTAAGCTTTAATTTATCACTTCGCTTAGAGTAGGGAGACGGCGCGTTCAACGTTTCGCTGGCATTCCTTTAAATTAAGTTAAGGATCTGATTGTTCCAAGTGGTTTGTTATTGTATTGTCGTTTAATAAGTTGAAAGTATACGATACAATTACGATTGATATGAAGTAGTAGTATCTATTGTTTAGAATTTTTTTTATGTAAAGAATGAAATAAACTTGATAGTTTCTCCCGCCTCACCCAGACGGGAGCAGTCATTCGATGATTTACCTCCCTTAAAAAAAACCCTGTAAAATTAATCAAAATTATCCATTCATTATGTATACAAATAATAATAATCTAATACACATAAAATAATGAGAAAAACTACCAAACTTATGAGTAACAGAGTATAAGTAGCCCTGACTACAGGAAGGGTAAGAGGTAGAAATAAGTTAAGTAACGTAATTTTAATTATTTAACATAGACATACAATTTACCGCCTAACCCTAAAACATAAAACGACGAAAAAGTAAAAAACATTATCTCGAAAATAACGCGCAACATGGCCACCATAGCTTGCACAACATTGTGTGACAGAACATAATATAATCATGACAAAATTTACTGCACTCCGCGGCCCACTGATTTAATCTAGAAAAAATACCCGTTTCATCCCACTGGGTACGAAATACACTAAACATATCACAGCGTAATGAACTTCAAAAAGATTTTGCTATCTCAAAGGCATTTCTTTTTAACTGTTTACAGTCTACTGTGTAGGGAACTTTTAAAATAGGAATTTAATTACTAGAAAAATGTTTTTTTCTTACATCGCAGGCTGAGTGAAGTCGACGTAGCAAAGGCGTGAGATTCGCTGCTGTAATGTTCAGCTTTTACATCCCTACGTTTTTATTACAGATATATGTAGATACCGTCTCGATGGTCGACTGCTTGCAAGTGTGACTGCTAAGCAAAGGTCTTCTGTTAGATTCCCGGATCCCGTTGATTATTTTTTATGTTTAGTTACTGCGTAATCCTTACTTAATATTATAAATCGGAAAGTGAGTTTGTTTGTTTGTTCCGCTTTCACGCCGTAACTACTAAACCGATTGCTTTGGATTTTTGCAGACGTAAGGTTAGAAGTCCGGATTAAATAATAGGGTACTTTTTATCCCGGAAAAAATTGATATTCCCGAGGGAAAACAAAAGTATTGGTATAGATGGCGCTGTGTGTATTGATGTATGTCACATAGGCTACTTTTTGTCCTTTTGTAACGCGAGCGAAGCCGCGGGTGAAAGCTAGTTTGAAATATAGCAATGCGATTTACTGTGAATTATATGGGACCCAAAAGTAACTGATAAAATGAGTGTTACGTGTATGCGTAACTCTGCCGAGAATGCTGCTATAACTGCTTAGTTTCACAACTACCTTACCTTGATACCATAATAGACACTTTGGAGACAACGTTAAGTGTTTCTTTGATCATGTGGAGACAGTATTGTTATGTCTGTTTACAATAGTGCCGTTAAATTCAACAGCATGTATTTGCATTTCATATATAAATAATAATATATCTATGAAAAAAATGCATTGGTATAGGTATTACAGTCTATAACTAGATAGATACAACAGTAACTTCTCTTAATACTTACTAGAACATAAATAGTTAACAAACAATTTATTTGTTGTTGTAGTATTGTGATTTTGACTGCCGACTTTGACTCGAGAGAATTGTTAAAGGTTTCCACAAAGGTTGGTCACCGGTGATTTTTTCTTGATGACGCCGTGAATCCTTCTAAAGGCAGAACCCCCAGCACCTGTAAGGGTCTCCGAGTCCTCTAATAAACCTGCTTCGGAGCCCCCCAATGCAATACCTATTACAGCACATCCCGTGATCTATGCGGCGGGTAATACTCGTGAGACATGAAAATGAATAAGTACAACAAGTAGGTCAAAACTGTACATAATAATATAATATTTTTTAAAAGAATGCCTGGAGTGTGATCTACGATCGACATAGAAACCAAAAATATAGTTTTCAGGATTTTTGTCCGTTTGTCTGTGTGTATGTCCGGGCTAAACTCAAAAAAGGACTTCATAAAATTACTTAAAATTTTGGATAAAAATTGCAAACAGGTCGGGTCAACATATAGGCTACATAGGCACACTACCATCTACGAGGAAGGTGCTGTGAAGAACTACCCAAAGTCACTATTCTACGCGGACGAAGTCTCGGGTATCTACTAGTTTAATAATAATTCAAGTAATTCATCAAGAGTCTTGAGAAACAACCAACATGGTAATTAACAAAACGTATACATTTCCAAAATACCTGTAGGTACTTCCAAAATTCTGACTAACAGAGTTCTGATTTGGCTAAATTAAACAATAAATATTATTATGTTGACGTCGCCTACTGTTGAAGTGACGCCAACGTAACATTCACGTTGACGTTGATCCTAACAAAGTTATTTTATATAGCGATTGCGTGAAATTAGAACAGTTCATTAATGCTCAGTCAACAATTTCTGTTAAAATAAAGTTTGATATTCTGTAGCGGTTTTAAAAAAATAATAATAAATTAGCCTTTGACTGGGTGGAATTTAGACCTTTGATTAAAAATTATTAAGATAGATAGATGAAAGCAATTGCGTTTGTATAGTTTTTATTTGAAAGTATCCACGTGATTATAATTTTATTAAATCTTGTTTAACTAACTAAATCTTGGGCTATGTGTTTAGTAGAGCTTGGTTTAAGGGTATATAGAGAGTATAATTTTAAAAAAATGGTAGAAACACGGTTGTTTCTTTTTATAATTTTTTTTTAAACTTTGTCGATTATCGCCTATAGTCTACATGGAATTAATATGCCTTGGAATTAACCTAAACATACATGATGCATTTTTTAAAGGAGGAAAATCATCCAATATCTTCTCCCATCTTGGGTGCGGCGCGAAGGAGTGTCAGACTCGTATTGACTAAAAACCAACTTGATCCTACTTTTGCACTTCGAGCCGCGGAAAAATGTTAAGTCCATCGCGGTTCCGTATCCTTCAGCCTTTCTGGGGAGCCTAGTATCCGTGGTGGTCAGATGGCTTTTTGAGGCGCGCGCGAAACACGATGTTACGTATGCTCGGTTCTGGAACTGAGGCCTTAGTACGACTTTGTTCCACGTGAAAGTAATCGAAACGAGTTCGGCGCTCTGGTTGGTTGATTCTTTGGAGGCGACCAATCAGAGCGTCAAACGCGTACTCGTTTCGTTTACTTTAAACGTAAAACAAACTCGTACTAAGGTCTCTGGTTGGGCCGCGAGTTCCCGTTCTCGCCGTCCGCAAGCTTGTATGCATATAAGATACCATGTTAATCTATGTCTGGTCTGTGTCAAAGCGAATAGATTTATCATCCGATATATACAACCTTTACCTTCAAATCTTCCTTATTATTAAAAAAAAGAAAACAATATTGAACAGTCAACAATGACAAAGAAACGTCACGGCGCAGTGAAAAAGTAAATTGATTCAAAAACATTACCAATTTTATCAAAACCATGATTTAGTACTAATTCACAACTTTTTGTAGATATATTAAAATAATTGATTTTATTAAAATGGATGGTAATTATAATCGGAAATGGTGCACAATTCTTCCAGAACTGGTGAGTTTTAATTTTTACTTTTTTACAAATGTCAAATCGATACCTACTCGATTGTCAAATAATGTCGATTTTTTTGCAAAATATTTCGAGTGATGTAATGCCCTTTTAATTACAATAAAACAGTGTTACTTACAAATGTAAAATTTATGATATCAGAAGGCTAATTTTTATAAATAAACATATTCAAATCCTAATCCGTAAAAAGCTAAACAAATTTGTCAAAGTTGGGGTAAGAAAGCTGAAACAGTATTCACGTAATTGTGACGAAATTGGCTACCCTAACTTAATATAGAAGTAATGTTTTAAGGCATAGTTAAATATACTACGAAAGACATCATTAAAAATAAAATAGTAACAAATTCTAACCATTTACCTGTGATAGAATACCTCAAAATTCAGTGATAAATAAAATAAGAACTGTCCCTGATGATACACTTCCTGTTAGAATTTGACCTTCTGTTATCTTACTGCAGTCTGATTGTTTAAATTACGTGTTTGTGTGACAAAGTGTGTGTGTGTGTGAAGAAATTACAGAGGCACGTTAATGGGGCGTTTTTCCTCTTTCGGGACCAAAAAGGTAGGTTCCCTAGAAATTGCGTTTTCGTGCGCCAACCATACTCTAACGCTTGATATAGGGAACGACAATTCTAAGTTTGTTTGATATATTTTTTTTTGAAATGCATGCCTTGACTTTTTGGCTTTGTTTGGTGGTGATTTTATGGATCTGGAGTTAAATTAACTTTTTGGGAAGTGCTCACAGTCATAATCAAAATTAGATATCTACTAGGGTGTTCTGAATTTGGCTTATACAAATAACTATAAATCTGCAGAAGATATATAAGATATATATATCCATAAAATAAAACTAAACCTTTCAATAATATAATGAGACTCAACGTGTCGCTTATAAGTCAAAGTCAAACCATTTATTTTAATTAGACCAGGAAGTAAAGTGTCTACTTCTGAACGTCAACAAAAAATTTAAAGTGAAGCTATTTGCTCGTTCCAATGTGTAAATTCCTATGGAAAAGAACGAGCATGAAACTCCATAGGTTATTTTTTTCCAATCAGGTTCACAATACAATTATCATTTACATAGTCTTGTTGGTTCAATTGTGTGAGAACAATGCAACTCCACAATCAAGAAAAAGAGAATCAAGATAGTCATTATCGCCGATACGATAATAGGCGAAAGCAGTACCCTAATAGGTTGTGGTGGCCCGGAGGTTTAAGACGCGCTTCTCATGCATGAGGATGCGGGTTCGAAACCTACCAACGGCAAGTACCAATGTGACTTTTTCCGAGTTATATGTACTTTCTAAGATTATTTAGACATCACTGACAAACGGTGAAGGAAAACATCGTGAGGAAACCTGGCTTATAATTTCTAATTATAAGTTTGTAATCGCCAACCCGCATTGAGCAAGCGTGGTGATTAATGCTCGAACCTTCTCCGTGTGAGAAGAGGCTTTGCTCAGCAGTGGGCATTTATAGGCTGTTGATGATGATGATGAGTACCCTAATATTCATTACTGATCATGCCATAAGGAATAAACTATCGTATAATGCAGAAAAAGTATAGAGTTAAACCAGGATATTTCCCATCAACTTTACTAGGTTCACCGATAACATTTTCAAGCTATTTAACACAAATAATGGTATCATGTTTTCTAGTCGCGATACAAGTTTATAGCTACCGTATAACATAATATTATCATGTGAAAGGAGGTATTTTTTATGAAGATACCCGTCGTAAAGTAAATGCACGATGTTTGCGGTTGATGGGTGGTTCTTGCAACCATTTCTCATGTTATCTTTATGAAGAATGAGCGTTTATGCTCACTTGTACGTTGTACTCAATTATACAGGTGAACACGACAGTTTTATATTATGACTGGCTGTTCCCCGCGAATTCGTCTGCGTAGAATATGAATTTTAGGATATAACTTTTTTTGTTTTAATTTTCCAAAATACACACAGTCGACAATTGTAAAAATATCTATTTTGGTATGTGTATCTTTCGGTTATTTTAATATTACAAACAGATAATCCAATTTGATTTATCTGTATAGATATGTAGGGTGCCATATTTGTTGAATGGTAATAGAATTATAACTTGTGTGACTGTATTGTCAAGTTTATAAGTTGTTTTGTTTTATGAAGGTTTTTCGTAATTAAGGTTGGCGTTAGGCTACTAATGGTCGACCGACCACCCCTAAACCGTCTCTTAGCTAAAAGCTACGTAGTATAAAAAGAGAAAACATATAACAAATCCCTTACTTGTACTGTTTTGAATGACTTTCCCCCTTCAAAAAAAGGTAGCTTAGCGCTTCCTTAAAAATTAAGGGAGGATGATGGAAACGACCATAAGTCTCTTTGAAAAATGCCCTATTTTGAAAAGAACCATATATCGGGCACAATTTCAGACTCCATGCTACTATTGAGATTTTTTTAAACCCAGTACTACTTTGCTCTACCTGGAAATCGAACCTGAAACCCCTTTGCGCGGCAGTCGCACTTGCGACCACTCATCCAGCGAGGCACTCATAAGTAGTCATAAATAACATGTAAAAAATAACACGAAATATAACAAAGCTGTTGTCGTTTTAATTACAAACGTTTATGACTCTTTCTCACGTCACAAGTTTATGTTAATCATAATATTTCCTCAACATTGTATGTTGAGGAAATATTACAAATTAAAACACGAACTGAGTAGACAAATTATGTTCTCCAGTGTTATTAATTATGGGTAGGTTTTGTAGGTTTTTTTTTGAAGTGAAATATGTTCTATTATAATCGCTACCCATTATTTTAATTTTATTAGTCTTGTAAACGTTTTTACGGGGTATTTGATTTCAAAATTTCCTGTAACAATGTAATTATGGGAATTGCTCTTCTCATGTGTCATTTTTATGAGAATATTATACGAAATTGTTTAGGCGACTACAATAATTTTGATGTTACATCTACTCCCAATTTCATTAGTCAGGTTTCAGAAATTGTATCCGAATGTTTTGGAATTAAAAAATTTTCAGTGTGGGAGTGCCATGCTTCGGCACGAATGGGCCGGCTCGACCGGAGTGATACCACGGCCGAGCAGAAATCCGACGTGAAGCAACACTTGCGGTGTGTTTCGTCGTGTGAGTGAGGTTACCGGAGGCCCAATTACCCTCTCCTTCCCCAATCTCCCCAATTCCTGATCCCCAACGATCCACAAACTCCTAATCCCCAAAAGGCCGGTAACGCACTTGTAACGCCTCTGATGTTCTAGGTGTCCGTGGGCGACGCCGATTGCTTACCATCAGGTGATCCGTCTGCTCGTTTACTGGCTTATGCCATAAATAAAAAACTGCACGAAGTCTGCATTTCTTGCTATGTTGCATAAAATATTTACGTTTAATATTATTCTCTTGAGGAATGTAAGGCACATGTATTTTTATTGTTAAGTGACATTGCAGAGGTTAACGTTATTGTTTTAATTTCAAACATATTTGTTTAACAATGTATATAAATAAAAATGATTAACTAAAATCGCAGGTTACTCACGTGAAACTACAGAGGAAAGATCTATTAGTTTCGAACCACAGAGGGGTTCTTTCTCATGAGCAGCGTGCGCGGTCGCGGTGATGCAGTACGCTGCGCGACATCCAGTCAGCCATTTAGTTTCGAATCCCTCTGTGGTTCCAAACTAGTAGAGCTTTTCTAAGTATATTCACGTGAGTAACCCGCGATTTCAGTTCATTTAGTATGTCTCACGATAGTTATTATAATAACATATAAAAATGACTTTCCGTTCGTTGGTCTCGCTTAAAACTTTAGAATGGCTCATAACCGATTTGGCTAATTTTGGTCTTGAAATGTTTGTCCAGGGAAGGCTTAAAAGGTGAGAAAAATATTATAAGCAATACGAAGTTCGCCGGGTCATCTAGTAATATTATAAAATTAATATTACAGACATTTAGATGTAGATACATTATTTTAACTAAAATCGACATCGCCGCGACCGCGCACGCTGCTCATGAGGAAGAACCTCTCTGTGGTTCGAAACTAGTAGAGCGTTTTTCAGTTACCCGTGAATATCCACGTGAGTTACTCGCGATTTTTAAACAATTTAGAATGTCTCACGATAGTTATTATAAAAACATACATTATTTTGTTTACAGAACCCCGTGTTCTAGACAGAAGTCTGTTTACATTGCTGATGTCCGCAACAGAGGTGATCGGTGACGTAGCAGACAACATGTATACAGATCATTACCAGTGGCAACGGACTATGATGGGGCATACTGTATGTAACATTTTATTTATATATAACTCTGCAATGTCACTGGAGACTGAATGGTTGTATGTTGTATTAATAACTAGGTAAATTATCAGAGTAGGCAGTTAGGAAATGCCGGTCCTCATCTAGTAAATTAAAGATTGACGTGTAAACGTGTTACGTTATAACCTACTAGCTACTTCCGCGTGGTTTCACTCGCTCTGCTCGGCGCCTATTAATTGTAGCATGATGTTTTATAGCCTAAAGCGTTCCTCGATAAATGCGCTATCCAACACAAAAATAATTATTCAAATCGGACTAGTAGTTTCGGAGATTAGCGCGTTCAAACAAACAAACAAAAAAACTCTTCAGCTTTATAATATTAGTATAGATTTGCAGAAATAAATAATTTAAAAAATAAAATTCTACCAGTGGCTTCAATCGCGTCCCCGTGGAATATAAAGTAGCCTACGTGTTACTCCAGACCCAGTTTCAAATTTCACTTAGATCCCTTCAGCCATTTTGACGTGATTGGGTAATGAACAATACACTAACACAATCGCATTTATAATATTAGTAAGATTAATATGTAAAATAGATATTATTTACCCCCACTTATTTACGTATCTTGATTCGAAGATACCCGCCTAGTTTGAAACTATACCACGGTCTATTTTTGCTGACTGCCTCATTGGCCGAGTCGTCGCAAGTGCGAATGTGCCGGGGCAAGGGGTTTCGGGTTCGATTCTCGGGTCGGGCAAAATATTACTGGATTTAAAAAAAATGTATTATAGCACGGAGTTTTGAATTGTGCCCGGTATATGGCAATAGGCTCACCCCCTATTACATGGGACTCATAACATAAATAGTGAAAAGTGGGTGTTACATTGTACAGTAGCATAATGTGCACCTCTGCCTACCCCTTCGGGGATAAAAGGCGTGATGTTGTGTTATGTTATGTGTTTCTTGAGGGGGGAAAATCATCCAATGTTTTCTCCCGCCCGGGTGAGGCGAGAAGGAGTGTCAGACTCTAACTGACTAAAAACCACCGCGTTCTTACTCCTGCACTTCGAGCCGGAGTCCCGGCAACCCGTTAAGTCTTCCGCGGCTATACCAGGGCCTATACTAAGTAAAATAAGTAGTATAGTAATAAATGTGTAGCAGCGAATGACAATGCCACGTCGCGCCGCCAACTTTCATTAATATAAACTTGTATTATTGATTTAACAGATTAATACAGAAACTATGACATGTGTTAAAAGAGTTTAAATATAAATACTACAATCATATACCTATTTTTTCCTTTGTTTCTAGTTTAATATTGCACCACCAGCATGTCCTCCAACCGCCAGCGGCAGCTGCGTCGTGCATGTTGTGAGGAACTGGTTGCGGTCCCATGAAGATGCCCAGGTAACAGTTTTGTACCTTATTTTGTGAATAATACCATTTTTTTTATGGTATAAGCCGGTAAACGAGCAGACGGATCACCTGATGGTAAGCAATCGGCGTCGCCCATGGACACCTGGAACATCAGAGGCGTTACAAGTGCGTTACCGGTCTTCTGGATTAGGAATTTGAGGATTGTTGGGGATTCAGGGATTGGGGAAAGGGGGGGGGGGTAATTGGGCCTCCGGTAACCTCACTCACACGACGAAACACAACACACCGTTGTTTCACGTCGGTCTTCTGTGAGGCCGTGGTATCACTCCTGTCGAGCCGGCCCATTCGCGCCGAAGCATGGGTCTCCCACATTTACGAAGCATGGCTCTCCCACACATAAAATGTTTTTATGTATTAAACTTCAACCAGTTTCAGGGATCTTCTCTAAGTTAATTGTACAATTCATAAGAATGTACCTACATCGTGAAGTGAGCAAATAGCTTCACTTTTATTTTTTTTATTGACGTTCAAAACTGCATTCCTGGTCTAATCGAAATAAATAATTTTGACTTTGAAATTGTTATTATAGATAAATGTATCGCATTGTATACGGGGTAATAAAACTGGTTTAATTGAAATTTTAAACTGCCATTTTGAATTTTAATCTTTTTACGAGTATTTTCATTGTGAATTCTCAATTTTAATTTATTATCAGAATAGTACTTTCATATAGTATAAGGCGGATTCGTGCCTGTAACTTATAATTTATTAATTTTTACTCTACATAAAAAAAATGAGTATCCATAATATTTCTTTGTCGTTCTGATTGATCAATGATGATTTGTGTTTGTTTAGATTATGATAGCCAGTATACTGGTGGTCGTGGGGCTGTGGTGGATAGTCAGAGCTATCCTTTCACTCTTCATCAACCTGATCTGTCCATTAATGGTCGTCGTACTAGCCGTAGTGAGTATAGTTTGGATTAAATAGCACTTCTGTCACCAATATCAACCCGTATCCATTAACGCTGGTTATAGGTCGTATTGATTCTTATTGTTGGTCGTAGATCAATGTTTTTGAGACAAACATTCCATCACTTATTCTTATGAACTACTAGCTGTTGTCGGCGACATCGACCGCGTCGAATATGAATTTTAGAACACATCATTTTTTGTTTTAATTTTCTTAAATAAAAGTAGTTTATTCTTTAGTACATCAGCTACCTGCCAATAAAAGTCTTGTAAAATGTATTTAGCCATTCCAGAGGTTAGCCAGAACAAACAAACAGATAGACAAACAAAAATTGTAAAAAAATAATTTGGTATATGTGTATCGTAGGTATATTTATGTGCATTTTGGAACTTTTGAAACACTTTGGAACGAGCAAATAGCTTCACTAGAGCACTGAGCTATAGACTGACATTTTTCTTATTATTTAATATATAAATATTTTGTTTTGACGTTAAAAAGTGCCTCCCTGGTCTAATTGGAATAAATGATTTTGACTTTGACTTTGCATGTAGTAAAAAGCGATTATTTTAATATAACACACAATCCAATTTTATCTGTGTCTGTACAGATAAAGCGTCCCTAATTGATTGATTGCCTCAACCTCAACCTGACAATGAAATCTGACACATCTTCATTATTTAACCAACTAAGTAATTTCTGATTAACTCGTCGAGTACCGTCATTATAGACACAATTATAGAACAATAGGTTTAAACTGTCAAACACCAAGCGGTCACCGGTGACCGCAACCTATTGTTCTATAATTGTGTCTACAAAACCGGTACTCGACGAGTTAAGGTGAACTCATTAAATATCGATATTTGAGTCCCTACTACTTTCCCATTCTCTCGTAAGATTTTTGTGAGCACGTTTTGTGATTGAAGTGTAGACATGTAAAGTTTTGGTTAACTAAATAATATGGTATTGTTTCAACAGGTATGCGTACCCCAACTTCGAGGGCCGCTCTTTGGTCAAAACTATCCACAACTTGCAAACCTATTAAGAAACATACTCCTGAAAATGGCTGACAACATACAAGCGTGAACGTATCCAACTTAATGGAGTGAAAAGTCTGACATAGAAATTTTGATTAATTGTTTTTTGCCTTTATGTTTTCATTTTACTGGTAATTAGACTTAAAATCATGATGATTTCGTTTTAATTTGTTTTTTGGAATATTTATGTATCTTTATCTACTTAGGCTGAACACATAGGCCACACTCGGCACACATGGGTCGGCTCGACTGGAGTGATACCACGACCTCACAGAAAACCGACGTGAAACAACGCTTGCGCTGTGTTTCGTCGTATGAGTGAGGTTACCGGAGGCCCAATTCTCCCTAGTCCCCATCTCCCGAATTCCAGAATCCTCCACAATCCTCAAATTCCCAATTCCCAAAAGGCCGGCAACGCACTTGAAATGCCTCGGTGTTACAGGTGTCCATGGGCGGCGACGATTGCTTACCATCAGGTGATCCGTCTGCTTGTTTACCGGCTTATACCATAAAAAAAAACATCAACAATACTCTTCGATCAAAAATAACAACTAGAAAAAAAAATACGTACAAAATCAAGCTCCAGTTCTGTCCGTGTGAAAAAAAAAAGTAAAAAAATAACAAACAGTGAAAAATGTTCTAAAATAGTTTTAAGTTCAACCTAATAACAACCATGGCACCTAATAATATAGTCATAAATCGTCAAAATATTATCTAATACTTACGGCCATTCGTCACATAAGACAAGAAAAGTATTTTCTTACTCCTGTCATGTAGAAATTAAAAGACCATAAGTTATACAATATTTAGTTTGAATTCAACCTTAACCTCGAACAAATAAAGATAATTTTTCCATTATTGTCTTGCGATCTATATCGTTTTGTTTTGTTACGTTTTGCTTCTTCAAATTTCGAATTTCGCTTCAGGAGGTATGTATGGAGTCGCGTTGGACACTAAAATAATTTTATAATATGAAAATTAAGATTTCGGGATCTTAGTATAGAGGTACATCACTAATTCTTATTAGCGGTTCGTTTTTGTGTATGTCAAAATCATTTATTTCAGTTAGACCAGGAAGGCACTTTTGAACGTCAACAATATAAAAAAAGTGAAGCTATTTGCTCATTCCAAGGTGTAGATTCCTATGGAGAAGAACGAGCAAGAAACAATACAATTTTATTTTTCAATACAAATCGACTCGATGCATCCACTGTTCTGTTTAAACAAATGTTGGCGAGGCTTGGCCAAGGAATCGCCAACACACGCACAAACATTGGTGGCGTTGGTTTATAATTGATAATTTTGTCTAATTTGATATTATTTACTAGTTTAAAAGCTTAAAATATAACTTATACTTTATGTACTTATCAAAAGTAAGACACTCCAGCCGTTATACTGCTTTTTCGGTTGTTATTTTTGCAACTTGCAATTATGCACTGCGGCATCGCGAGACGTGAGTACGTTGGCCGTGTTTGGAGCATACTAAACAAAATAAGAGCTCACTTCTCAAGTGAGCTCTTATTTGTCGAGACGATTTTCTTGCGCTGACCCGATATCTAGTTGTTATTGTTGATCGAAGACAATACTACACTGCAGCAACTGCACACAGTCGATCATCATCAGCAAAGCCTCTTCTTACACGGAAAAGGTTTGAGCATTAATCATCACGCTTGCTTAATGCGGGTTTTATAAAAGCCCATGTATCCCCACGAAGTTTTCCTTCACCGCTTGTCACTGGTGTCTAAATAATCTTAGAAAGTACTTACATATAACTCGGAAAAAGTCACATTGATACTTGTCATTGGTAGGTTTCAACCCCGCACCCTCATGCATGAGAAGCGGGCGCCTTAAAAAAATCGATATATGCCAACAATTATCAACAGTCAAACCTGACTTAGGGCAGTTGACGAATGAAAAAAGTGAACATGTATACTGCATGGCTACAGCCTATCGCATAAAGTTGATAATATGATTGCATTTTTTTTAAGGGGCAGGAGGGAGTGTCAGACTCTTACTGACTAAAAACCACCCCGTTCCTACTCCTGCACGTCGAGCCGGAGCCCCGGCAACCCGTTAGGTTCTCTGCGACTCCGAATAATATGATTGCATAAGGTTGCTCCAATGTTGTTCATTTTATGGTAGGTATGAGTAAGTGTTAAAAATAATACATGTTTGAAAAAATTTTTACATCTTTGCAACTAAAGGTCAAATTGAAGACAGCGACCTTAACACCAATTAGGTAGCCACCGAATCGCTCTTATACACATAAATCCAAGAATTTATTTTTACAGCTCCAATGAAATAAAACTGGTAGCACGCTACATTTTTCTATGTCGGCTGTAAAACGTCACCTCGCAAAATAAAAGTTAAACAGGAAACTTAAAAGTTAGAGGTAGTTTTATTAGAAAAATATACCTTCTGCCTGCGAGTCTGTTCGTGCAATCCGATTTTTTCCCGTGCCAGTAGGATTAATTGCGGGAAAGCCTTGGATAGAAGTATCCTATGTCCGTCTCCTGGTTTTAGGTTACCTGTTCACAAATTTTCAGCCAAAACGAATTAGCCATTTTTGAGTTATAAATATAGTAACTAACACATTTTAAATAGGTGTAGACAAGCTGTAACTACACTGTTTGCATTTTTCTAAAATAAAATATGCTATTCCTTAGTGCATCAGCAAGCTTTTTTTTAGCGGGGAAAATCATCCATTGACTTCTCTCGCCCGGGTGAGGCGAGAGGGAGTGTCAGACTCTTACAGACTAAAAATCACCCCGTTCGTAGGAACGGGAACAGGAGTAGTCCTGCACTTCGAGCAGGAGCCCCGGCAACCCCTAAGGTCTGCCAATAAAAGTCCCGTCAAAATCGGTCCAGCCATTTCAGAGAATAGTGTCTAAATTGTAAAAAGTGTTATTTTGGTATAATTATAATGTATGCGATTATTTCAATATTACAAACAGACATACCAATTTTATTTATCTGTATACATTTAGAATCATTTGCCGTTTTATGTAGCAATATGGAGGTAATGGGATGAGGACTGTAAAGTTAGTGGGCTTGAAGTAGTGGTTCGATTGCTGGTTGCTTCAATAAGTTTGTGGGTCGAACTGGTATCCTGCTAGGCATATTAAAGGGAACTTTTTAACTATCATTTTATTACTTAAAAATGTGTGTTAATAGACCTGTTACATTTTAAGTGTGGGAGAGCCATGCTTCGGCGCGAATGGGCCTGCTCGACCGGAGTGATACCATGGCCTCACAGAAGGCCGACATGAAACAACGCTTGCGTTGTGTTTCATCATGTGAGTGGAGTTTACCGGAGGCCCAATTACCCCTTTCCCCTTTCCCTGAATCCCCAACAATCCTCAAATTCCTGATCCCAAAAGGCCGGTAACGCACTTGTAACGCCTCTAGTGTTCCAGGTGTCAATGAGCGACGCCGATTGCTTACCATTAGGCGATCCGCCTGCTCGTTTGTCGTTTATCTCATAAAAGTGTGTGTGTGTGTGTGTGTGTTGTGTTTCTGCCTTAGCCTATCTGGAAGCTGTTGATTACGTCTTATATTAATTATCATGTTTAAGTTTTGTCTGGCTCGTTGGCCGAGTGGACGCAAGTACCATTGCCAGTTGCATTGTGCAGTGGCATTAAGTACCGTATTGTGCACTTTTGCTTATCACTTCGGGGTTTAGGGTCGTGATGTTATGTTCTGTGTTAAGTTTATTCCGTTCACAAAGAAAGCAATTAATAACGCATGTGAGTTATATAAGAAAATGAGTCTTGAGTAGTCATACAGTTGGTCTTTATTTTAAACCATATAAACGTTGGACTCAATACTCTTACTTTGTAGATATTGGGAATAAAGTGGTCGTGTCAAATTCGGCAGCACGCGAGACACCTACGCCACTATACGAGCGTGACTCTGTCGATCGTAAACTTGAAATAACTTGTAGGGTTGGCAAAGAATTCATTGTATTTTTTATTTTTTCTTAATAATGTGCAATTGTTTATGCAAGCACTGCTTGTTTAAATAATTACATTTGGTTAATTTTGTACGCAAAATTCTAAGTGACATAAGCCAATCTAAACAGATAAATAGAGTGTCTGTTTGTAGTATTAAAATAATCGCTTTTTACTACCTCTACATATGTATATATGAATATATACGATACAAATACCAAAATAACATTGTTTAATAATATTTGTCTGTTTGTCTGTCTGTATATTTGTACTGGCTAATCTCTGAAATGGCTACACCGATTTTGACGGGACTTTTATTGACAGGTAGCTGATACAAAGCTAGCTGTAATAAAGAGTAACATAGGCTACTTTTATTCTGGAAAATTAAAATAAAATAATATTGACGCGGACGTGGTCGCGGGAAACAACTTGTCATACTTGTAATTGGAATGATAGTACAAAACTAGCGAGAAAAAAGTGTATCAATGAGTTTCTGCTAACCCAGACAAAAATAATAGTTATTGTTAACTAAAAGTCTTGCAAATACTGAGAACATTACGTGCATTTGCGCGCGTTGGGCTCGCAGCGCAAATAACAACACCAATGACGCAACCCAACACTAGCCTACTGGCTTCGCGACATCGCCGTAACCGCGCACGCTGCTTATAAGGAAGAACCCCTCTCTAAACTAGTAGAGCTTTTCTCAGTATTTGCATGTGAGTAACCCGCGACTTCTAGTTAATTTAATATGCCCCACGATAGTTACTATAAAACAGTCATTATTGTTATGTAAAAATACATTTTTATATTATGTAGTATCAAAATAAAAAAGTGGTACAGTAATAAAAACAGTATAACTGAATTTAGAAGTACTTATGTTTGAAGATACTTCGCCATCTGTCAAGAGTATGTCGTAACTGACGAGGGTTTCCAGATCGTCTGGATATTTTATACACGCATCAATTTCAGTGCGAATACGCCTACCATATATTAGAGATGTGGGGCAGACGGTAGGACCAGCCCCAGTTGTCACCGAGCTGTTTTTTGTTTCTGTTTTTATTTTTGGTTCTAGAAGTTACTTTTTAATGGGCATTAAGGTCTAAACTTGATGGATAAATCGGAATCATTCAGTGCAAACATTGATCGTA